TAAATCGATTTATCACATAAATCTTAGAAATTCAATGCATAGAAACCAATGAAACACTCGTGTTTCAATCCAAATACCTGATTATGGCATAAATCACAAAATATATACGAAAAGCAACAAAAAGCGCATTCATCTTGTCACTATCTCCCCACTCTCACTCTCTCCCTCGCTCTCACTCACTCCTCCCTATGCACACGTCTCTCTCTCTATTGCACACAACTCTCTCTCTCTCTACTGCGCACACACACAACTCTCTACTGCATGCACACACACCCCTCTCTCTCCCTCTCTCTACAATGCACACATCTCTCTCTTATGCACACACAAGAGTCACAAAAATACACAGGGAAAGAGCACAAGTGCACATACCTGTAGCGTGGGAGAGTTGGGAGGAGCGACCAGATTTACTAGAATGATCACCACAAGCTAATGGCAAAGGAGCTCTGTGGGCTGGTTTTGGGTCTAAGGGTTAATATAGAGGGAGGGGGGATTGGGCGGGGAAGAGGGAAGGTGGGGTGGGGGGGGGGGGAGGGTACGTGTTGGAGATCCAAGTATGTAGTTGATTAAAATAATAGAAAAAATCCAATTTGTGTACTTGTAGATTAGTGAAAAAATCTAATTTGTGTACTTGTAGATTATTGAAAAAATCCAATTTGTGTACTTGTAGATTATTCTTTTGGATTTATGTGTACAAAATATCTTGGTGGTCCGAGGGACTATGTTATTAAAGTTATACCTCTAATGGGGTTTGGAGTATATATAAGAATGGAGTAGACAAGTATAGTATGGACTAACTTATAGAATGATCTATAATTTTAGCATTTATCAAGTAGTATATTGGTACCTGATGTATCAAATTTTAGTAATATGCATTTATTTAAATAGGGTATGTCATACACATTAGATTTTGGACTAAGGACCACGGATTAAGTAGCAAAATAATCCATACTCTTTAGATTTATCAAGCATATAGGCATGTGTTGCATAAGAATATGGTTTGATGCACTTATTTGAACATAGGATGTCATACATATTACATTTTGGACTATGGACCACAGATTATATAGTAATGTGCCTAAAAGTATTTAATATTTCATTAAGTAGCATGTATGCCTAGAAATAGGGAACTATGGATTTATTTAATTAGAGGTTGTCGTAAGTTTACGTATTGGATTTTGAAGCATGGACTATGGACACATACAGTAAAGTGCTCAGTAGTATTTCTCATTTATCAAGTAGCATGTAGCATGTGATATACAAAAATGGGGCATTATAGATTTATATGACCAGAGGATAGCATACATATTGGACTCGTTCCCTTAACCAATGGTAGTTGCAGACCTTGAGGCCAATCAACTGAGGACCTTGATTCCTATACTTGAAGAACCTAGATATTAGAACAAGAGGAACCCCATTTATGACAAACGGAAACCTTGATCCCCTAACCAAGGGAACCCGTACTAGCTCTACTTGACAACCTCGTTTAATGTGTAGTGGAGCTTAGATTCTTGCCAGTCAAAACCTCGAACCCATCGATATGGGATCTCGCTCCCATAAACCTAAGGATATCTTTCCCTCGCTTGTTCATTGTACAGACGTCGATCCCAAACCCAGGGACTTTTGCAATAGGGCAGTTCGGTGATTCCGGAACCGATCCCGCTCCCGTAGACAACAACTATGGGCGCCATCAAGGAGGTGACATGTCGAGGAGATTGGTGTGAGGGGGCAGCGTGTAGAGAGACTGGGGGGTTCACGTGAGGGTGTACCATGGAAGAGGCAGGTTGCATGAGAGCCAGTTAACACGAGGCAGGAGGGCGGCGATGGCTGCATGCAATGATTCAAAAAGCAGACTGCCCAGTGTCCAGAAGGCCTGGGCGCATCGTCCAGGCCTAGCCAGCCAAACTAGGCGGGCAGTCCCTGGGTGGCCGGCTAGGGCCTGCGCCTCTCCTAGAGGTGGAAATGGGTTTTTCTTAGGGTTCTTTTGGGTTTTTTTTGAAAAAACAAATGCTTTTAAAGGTGGGTTTTAGGTTCATTTAAAACGTAAACCCACAAGAACCGATTTTAGAGAGAGAGAAACCTAAAAAAAACTAGATTTTGTGATTATCATTGGATCGAAGTGTTTCTCAAAGTTACGGGAAATGGATTCAAACATCATCCATCAAGTTTAGATTTAGTTTTGGAGTTTTTTAGTCCTATTAGAGCGTGTTTTTGACTATTTTAGCACCACAAAACATCTTAGAGGTGGAAGTCTGGAGTTCGAGCAATCAAAGTAAGTGCAAAACTTTATTTTTTAGATTGCTTGTTTGATTTTGAGATGTCTTCTTCAAGATCTAGTCGAAGTGGAGATCCGGGTTGGAAATATGGATATAACCCGAATCTGATGACAAAAATTGCCTAAGATGCAATTATTGTGAAAAAGATACAAAAGGGGCATAAACTGGTTTAAAAAACATCTTGTCGGTATTAAAGGGAATGTTGCCCCTTGTAAAACTGTTTCTGAAGCTATCAGAGAAAAGATTAACCAATATATGAGTTCAGTAAACAAAAACAAAATCCTTGTCATTTGAATAGGTCTATTTTTGGTTCTTTTAGAAGAAGTGATTCGAGTTGGAAGTATGGTCATAACCCAAAACCAAACGATAAAAATTGTATAAGGTGTAATTTTTTTGAAAAAGATACCAATGAGGGTATTAATGAATTCAAGAAACACCTTGCCAATATTAAAGGGAATGTTGTTTCTTGTAAAAATGTTCTTGAAGTTATTCAGGATGAGATTAGACAGTATCTGAATTTAATAGAACTAGAAAAGGATGAAAATGAGCCTTGTTTTATGGAAATATCTTCTCCAGGTTCTTCTTGAAGTGTTGATCAGGGTTGGAAGTATGGTCAAAACCCAAATCCGAATGACAAAAACCGTATTAAATGTAATTATTGTGAAAATGATACTAATGGGAGTATTTACTGGTTCAAAAAACACTTGGCCGGTATTCTTGTAAAACTGTTCTTGACTACCAGGGAGGAGATTATACAATATTTGAGTTCAGGGAAGCATAAAAAGATGGAAAATGGTAGAGCAGCTAAGACTCCTAGGGTCTCATCTGTACAAAGTAAGAGGGAGGTAGAAGTAGAGGAGGAAGAGGTAGATTGAGAACAAACAGAGGAGGACGAGCATTATGTTGAAGAGGGAGATGACTCTGAGTCTGATGATGATGGCCTCGAATCTGATGCATATGATGAGACTTACCTTACTCCTTCTAATGATGATGATGATGATTGAAGAATGAAGAGTTGAAGACTCTTGACTCTTGGTGTTGAGTGTTGACTATTAAGTTCTAGACTGTATATTTTCTGAATTTCTGTATATATATACTTTTTGTTAGTTTCTAATTTCTAGTTTACTAGCTAACTTTTGTGTGTATCAATGTATGCTTGTATGGTTTTAGCATTGTATGAAAATATGGTTTATGGACAATCAAAATTCACCTCATTCATGGAAATATCAAATATGGACTATGGATTGAATATCAAAACTCTAATAGTTGTGCGTCGAATATCAAAATTGTCCTCATTTATGGTTAGAATATTAAAATTCTAACATTTTTCTTTCTATTAGGCCGCCCAGGTTTTGAGTGCCCGCTTAGGCGCCCGTGTAGGCACTGGGTTGCCTGGACCCCCACGGCTGCCTAGGTGCCGCCTAGTGCTTTTTGAACATATCCGGGGGTAGTTGAGAGGAGTCATGGACAGGGAGACACGTGGAGTCAGGGGTAGGGAGGTGCGTGGCAGTAGGTGGTGATAGAGGGACATACGAATCCGGGTGGCCTAATGAAGGAGAGGGGTAAGGTGGATGGTTGATTGGGAAAGGGTTTTGGGTATCCCTCGGAACTGCATGATTCGGTGATTGATGTTTGCAAGGCGATGGAGGCTTACGACAGCAAGGAACCGTGATCCAATGATTGGGATCCAAGGTAACGCTGGTGTTGGGTTCTCCCAGGAGAAAATGGAGAGGGGTGGGCAGCGGCGCCGGTTGCCACGCACAGAGGACCATGAAGAAAAGACCTTCAACTAGAGTGCTGAGGGGATGGAACTTCAACAAGCATCTGAATGGAGCCCATGGGAAAATGTTCTATGGATTTCCAGTAAATGGCTGAGGGAGCTGCAGGAGTTGCCTAGGCTCTGAAAGGTATCCGCAGTCCAAGCATGGAGGGGAATATCGAAAAACCTGATCCAGAGGCTTAAAAGCTCCAATCTCCGGTGGCCAGGGGGAGAGAGAGGGTCGCTCCTTTGAACTTCACAGAGGGGGACCTAGCAACAATGTTGACAAAGTCTGCTGAGGGGAAGAGAAAATGGATTTTGCCTGATGAGAGTCTCCTACAACAGAGTTCTAGCACTCCCCAGAGTCTTTGAGCCCAGTTCTCAATGCCGTGAAGGTCGTCGCGGCAAGGAGAGAAAGAATCCATGAGCGCAGCGGAAAGTTTTGCAGAGAGAGATTAAGGGAGAGGTGGAGGGGTGGGGGTGGGATGGGAGGTGACGGGTTGGAGGTGAGGAGGGGAGGGAATGCCCACTGAGTGAGCAGGTAGAAGAGGTTGCGGTGCTTTGGGAGGGCGAAGGAGGTGGGCTTACGAGGAGTAGAGAGGAGGGGAGGGAATGCCCACTGAGTGAGCAGGTAGAAGAGGTTGCGGTGCTTTGGGAGGGCGAAGGAGGTGGGCTTACGAGGAGTAGAGAGGAGGGAAGGGCTCAACCAAACGACTCCTTGGCTACTGGGGTGCCATTCCCTTAGTTTGAGTGGTTTCCTTAGTATTAGTTATTTGCATTATATGAGCTTGTCATTTATCTCCTGCAAAAATTCTTTGTTCTAATCTTTTCATGGTTCTTTGAATTGCCGTGGTTTCCGGATCCTTGTTTGAGCGAAGCCTGTTAGAGAAGCAAATTTTCTTTTAGTAATGTGCTTTAGAAGTTATATAGACAACATTGTTGGGAAGTCCTGAATTTTAACATGCTAGGCACACTGGTCGCAAAGTAGAAGATCCTGATATGCTGGAGAGAATTCGACTTACCATCATTAACAACCTATTGAAGTATCACCCGGTATGATGATTCAGTTTGTAAAGCCTTTTTTTTTCTTGGCCTTAATGTGCAGTTATTATTTTCTTTTCTAAAATATATTATGAGCCAATGGGTTTGGGAATCTTTGGAATCCATTGTAATGATGGGTGCTGATCAGAGAAATTGTGGTACGCACCACTAGGGACATGTCTTATTCTGGTGTCTTGACACTCCATTGCCATCTATTATTTCAATGGATGGTGATGACGCAATGGGCATCTATTGGGTTATTGTACTTTCCCTTTTATTTTTTGTTAGTGCTCCAAGATCCTGGTTCGTCTTGTCAGGAATCTAGTGAACGGCTGGCCTTGGGTGAAGCTTTTGGAATTAAAGCACCACAGAAAAAGGTACTACATGGAGGAAAAGTTTCATGATTTTTGCTTATTGATTCTGTTATGTCTCTTAGCTGTGCACCATAATCTTGAGGATTATGGAAAAACCATTGGGTTATCACCATCACTGAAATGATAGATGGTAATGATAAGAGTGTGGGATCCACAGGAATATGACATAACCAAATGATGGATCTCTCACTCTTTATTCGTCATTTCAATGGATAGTGGTGATCTAGACTATGTTCATCCCAAAATTATATCTTCATTTTGTTTCATGACCTGAAGTACTTTTGTTTTCAGCTTGATGTTGACATTGCAACCCATATACATGTTAAGGATGACGGACCCAAGAGAAGGTTTGTAAATCTTAAGGGCTGTATAGAAGTAATGAAAAGGTCTTGGTTTCATTACCTATAGAATTATAATGTACCTCAGTTTAATCATGTTCCTGAAGATTAGATATGGAAAATCTGTTGAAGATTAGATATGGAAAATCTGTTATATTATTTTTTTAATTGTTGAAATGACAATTCCTTAGAAACAAATAAATGAAACAACAAATTTTAAGTAATGCATGGGACATTTCTAGGGAGAACGAGCTCTGTTTAGATGCTACCTTTGGACTTCCAAGGATAGCATAAAACAAGGTACCTGGGGTTTTTGGAGATAGATAGTGTTTGAGTTGGACAAACTTCCCTAACTGATAGGCATTTAATTTCTTGAGGGTAACATAGTTTAAACTTGTGAGAAGTTGAAATTTTAATTTGGTACTCTCAAGTTGTAGATTTCAATAAGCTACAAGTTTAAACAAAATTCTTAACTTGGAAACTTTGAAAGCACCTAATGTCTGCAAGTTTTTCCTTTGATAAACTCTCTCTCTCTCACATTCTTACTTCTTATACTAACCTTCAGTTTTTCAAAGAGGGAAATACTAAATGATATGTGTGTTTTTCTCAGCTTACTGATCATAGAAACAGCTGATCGCCCTGGGCTTCTGATGGAGATTGTCAAAATTCTAGCGGACGTCAATGTCAGTGTGGAATCGGCAGAGATTGACACTGAAGTAAGTTTAGACTTAAAACTCTCGATGTGCGCCACTCAAAAGTCTAATACCTTTCCAAGTTTTTCTCCAAGGTTCATCATTATGAAGTGCATGTCAGATCTAAATTTTCAAGCCGCCTATTTTCCCTAGTTGATTTTGGCAGAGGGATCAAATTTTAGCTGAATTTGCAGAGATTTAGTCCTTGATCTTGTTTGGCTGGGATATCTTAATATGCTGTTTTTCTTTTTTTTTCCCTTTCCTTTTATGCTATTGCAGGGGCTTATAGCGAAGGATAGATTTCATGTGAGTTACAGAGGTGCTGCCCTCAACAGCTCTCTGTCAGAGGTGATATCATCTCTCTCTCTCTCTCTCTCTCTCTCTCTCTCTCTCAATGGCTAAGCTGGGATTTGAACTTTTTTGTAACGCCATCTTAAAGCCAGAGGCCAGACCTCTGAATTATCAATTGTACTTCTTTTGGGTGGATAAGTTGTAATTCAAGCCAAGGATTATAGTGCTTACCCCTTGTGCTTAAATATCAAGCCTGACATCTCTCTCCCTCTCTGATAAACCAAATTTCCACATCTCTCTCAGGTGTTAACAAACTGCCTGCGCTATTACCTTCGAAGACCTGAAACAGATGATGATAGCTACTGACTGTAGTGCATGTTGCTGGTGCACTAACTAACAATTACTGGCTGGCTTTATATGGACTATGGCAAGTTCCATGGAGGACTTTTCACATGTGGCAGCAACTTCAATTGGGTATATCTCGATGGGTGTTCTATTGGTGACATAGTGTCACTAATAGGTATATGGCATGTACTATTTAAAATGGGTAACTTCAGGAGTTCAAACAATATCATATTTAAAGTATACCATTGAAATATTACTATCATGCCCCTTTAACAAAGAAATTTTTGGGTAATGCACCATTTTAATGGTGAAGTTTGAGTCTCCTACTACACAATTTTTTTTACCACAGACTATGGTCTAGTCCAAGATTTGATGGAGGGGTATCATAGGTAGAATTTTTACTTTTGAGTTGAAAGGCGGATAATCCTTTTCTCGTTTCAAAGTTATTTCATATATCCCTACCTCAGAAAGTCGGCATCTTATGGTTGCTTTTTAAGGGTAACAAGGATGCCTATCCTCAATATTTCCTTTAAGAAGTCGCAAAACAGCCTTGCGTTTCTCATCTCTTTTGAATTATATCTCCCTCTTTGATAAATAAAAAATCACAAAAAAGAGTCACTGTTTCCTCTCTGTTATCACTGTTTATTTCTGTGCTTTGAGCTTGCCTGTATTTATTTAGTCTTTTGGTTATCAGATTCGGGTTTGCTTCTGACCGAAGCTTCAGCCTAAGCAAAGAAATATCTATGTAAAAGTATTTTTTTTATTTTTTTTATTTTTATATATAGATATCTAATTTATTTAAATTTTTTTTTGTTTTAAAGTCCAAAGTCTTCTTCCGAATCGGGAGAAACACTGAATTGCTTCATTATTCTCACCAAATAAAAAAAAAGGCTCCGAAGCTTTAACAAGATTGTTCCCTTGACCTTGCAAAAATCATTCTAAGGAACTCACCAATTGTGCTTGAACCCACAAAGAGTTCACGTGCTCCAGGCTAAGTTGTTCGGAGTAAAGAGTGCAAGGGAGTTCGAGAATTTTGGGAAATGGAGCATCACTGCAAAGGTCTCTATGCTTGAGAAAAAGATCGAGTAACCCTAATCATTGCGTACCTCTCCAAAGATGTTGGTGGACACACATTGACTATGAGGCGTGCCTCTTGTTTAGGATTGGAGAAACTCAAAAGGGTGGAACTAGGGATGATGTTGTCTGGAGTAGTAGGGAAGCCTTAAAAAACCTCAAGCACACAACCACATTGCTAAAGGTGATATAGAGTCTAGGTACAATTTAAAATATTACCTACAAAGCTAGCACTGCTTACAACTTCTTGCTCACTGTTACAAGCCCAAAAGGAGTCCAACAAAGACTCAAATATCACTGAAAAATAAGAAATAACAGCCCCAAGTTATAAAAACAAACACATGTACATGATAAACAAATTATACCGCTTTCCTCGTACACATGGACTGCACATACTCTGTATGCATCAACAATAGCATACCCAACACATTACGTACTCAAATCTCCATGGCAAAAATATTCATCAACCCAACACATTACGACCTCAATTCTCTATGGCATAAAATATTTATCAACATACTCAATTCTTCATGGCACAAAATGGTCATCAACTCAAAATTGTAGCAAAGTATCAAAATTGCAGCAAAGTAAGTAAAAGGAATCAAGGGGAAACCAATTATTGAACCCTTTGTGCCTTGGTCGCCAATCGGATCTTTTAAAGATTTAATTTTGTTTCATCAATGAAAGCAATGATGACCAAAATGGCTGATCCACTTAATTAAAGATAATCTTATGCATATTTACCACTTAATTGGCTTCAAAATAAGAGAGAGAGAGAGAGAGAGAGAGAGAGAGAGAGAGAGAGAGAGAGAGAGAGAGAGAGAGAGTAGTAGTAAGTAG